CACACACATACACACACACACACACACACACACACACACACACACACACACACACTATAATACCTGGAGAAGTATGGCACATTCTGCAAGAAATCAATAAAGATCCATTTCATTGAAAATGGAATCAAAGTGGAAAAAAATCAGAATTCTTTATATGCATCTACTATAGGGAGTTACTAGCCCTAAATATACACAGAGGGCATGCTCTGAGAGAACAAACACATACAGTACATATTCTGAGACAATTCTCATTTAATTTAGGCCCTAGGCCTAGGACCCTAGCTAATTTACAAGGATGTTCTAGGAAAGACACAATTTTAGGGATGGCAATCAGTCTAGGGCATTTGCTTTTCCTGCAGGGGAAGCTCTAACACATTCCCACCCTTCAAGAGAAGCCAAGACTGATGATTCAGGAGCTTTGCTGGTTAGTGTACTTTTCTTTTCTGCCTCTTTCTTTCCTTCTTTCTTTCTTCCTTTCTTTCTTTCTTTCTTTCTTTCTTTCTTTCTTTCTTTCTTTCTTTCTTTCTTTCTTTCTNCTTTCTTTCTTTCTTTCTTTCTTTCTTTCTTTCTTTCTTTCTTTCTTTCTTTCTTTCTTTCTTTCTTTCTTTCTTTCTTTCTTTCTTTCTTTCAGCTCAGAAGGTGTGTTCCCATTGTACCCTGCCTGTCAAAAATTTTCTCAGCAGTCAAGGATAGGATAGCAGCACAGCTGCCCTTGAGCCAAGCTTATAAATCCTATTGGGAAACCACCCGTGCTGTCAGATGACATGGTTTTCAGACACGTCTATATGGACTAGTTGACTTAAAGACCAACTCCAGACTTGATGTTGCTGAGCTCCTCAGCTCCATCTTGCCATCCTGATTGATCGAGGAGATGGGTCTATAGTTAAAGTGGCATAGCACTTTGGGAGTTTAGTCATTAGAGCACACTGCTTTCTCTCTGGAAGGTAACTTCTTGCTTGGCTAGGTTATGGAAGCTAAGGAGTGACGTCAAGATGTTGTCTGGCCAGAATGTGCAGATAACCATAGAACTCTTCTCCTCCATCAGGCATGGATTTAGCCTCCTTTAGTTCCTGCAGTGACGCAGGAGCCTCCAAATACCAAATTATTATCAGGCGGTCTTGGGGGAACCTCTGGGCCCTGCAATAAAGTAGACAGACTTGCTATTGGAAAGTGCTCGGGAGCAATTCAGCCCTGTTCAGATTGCTCTAAAATCCTGAAAACCATCTCTGGACTTACTAACTGAAAACCTGACAGAGCTCTTGATACTGAAAAAGTACTTCTGGGGATATAATCTATTAACACTCTTTACTTGAATGATCTTATGCATTATTTAAAGAAATCTGGCTTGATCACGTTTGTTTATTGTTTTAAAAAGCAAAGTTATGCAAGTATAGAGGCTGTGTAATTTTGGTAAAGCCACTTGTGAGCATTGTCTGTAAGTAAAGTAAGGTGGTTGTACGAATTGCTCTTTAAAGTCTAACGCCAGGATCACAGACAAGTGGTGGTGGTGGTAGACTGTGGACCAAATCTAACGCACGCTGGTATCATTTATTGATCCCACCCAGTGTTTTAAATCTTGAGAAATTCACATAAAATAATAAGTGCCAGTTCTTGTTGGAAAAACTGGAGTATCTGGTAATATCAGACCCATGCTCCAGCATGGCCTTCACAACGCCATATCATCTTTCTGATCTGGCCTGTTTCTCATACTGACCTCCATGATCCTGTAGGTAACTGGGGTTTAGGACCCTTGCTCTAAGCCATCCTATCATAGTGCTTTATAATTATATGATGATATCTTTAACCATTGGTTCCCCTGGCAAGATTCCCTGAAGGCAAGGAACATGCCATCCTTACCACCAAACCCCCAGTTCCTAGCATTATAGGGGTGTTGTGGGTAGTAAATAAATATTAAATAAATTGAATTTCACCTTCTATGTTAGATTTTTACAAGTCACTAAAATAAGACTGGGACAACTCATTGTAAGATCACATATATATCTGAAAGCCAACATCTTTGAATAGCAGGTAGATATAAGAAAGAGAAGTAAATATGCTGGTTTGTGGCCCAAGCCTTTCATAGGTCCATAGATTGATGGTGTGCTGTCCATGTAACATTTTGCTTTAAGCATGTGAAAAAAATTCTAAACTTTTTCTGAGACCGTCTTAATTTTTTTTTTCCAGAAGTAACCTATCCAACTTCTTGGAAGAGCCCTTTTTTAGCAGTTCTTTAGAGGTTAATTATAAAAATATTCAATGGGAATCACTTAATTGAAAGCTAAGTTCCCGAAATTACATGGGCTTATAGCAACAGATCTTTCTGTGTGTCAGATCTATGCTTTCTGAAATATTTTAATTCTGAATGACTGTAATTAGGAGGCTCAAAGAAAGGATTTTTGGTTAGAAAATTATTTATGCTAAAATTCTTATATAAATCTGTTTAAAATGGCTAATATAATGTTAAAAACACATCTAACAAGTAAACTACCAAGCAAGCAAGTTTAACAGGAATAGAGCCAATGCAAAAGGCTATGGGTCATCTTTATTTGTTACAAGTCTGTTAGTAATTAGTATTTCAGTGATATATAGCCACATCTGGTAAGCATCTAACCAACATCAAAGGTTCATTGTGTCTCATGCTATGAAGGAATAGTTCCACAGATATTGTTTCTGCTCTCTAGGAGCTTACAATCTAACCTAAAAAGACTACAGAAGCATATATGAGTACATGAGAGTGGTCATACTCAGCGCAACAAAAGGCCACAGATACATTGAAGATAAAGAAAAATATTTATGGGCTAAAGAATGACATTTAGAAAGGTTGAAGGGAAGAAGAGAAGTATATTGCTTCTTCATTCCTATTTCTTTGAAAAAGAATTCATAGAAGATGTGTGGTTTTTAAGTGTTCAAATTATGAAAGAGCATATGGCTTAAAGCCTAGAAGAAAGAAAATGTCTTTGGATATAAGATACTGAGTGGCTGAAAACACTGAGCTCAGTAAGGATGGCCCAGCAAGTCCGTCTAAGATAGGAATCACCAAATGGAGAAGCGATGGCCTGGATCTCTCCAGTAGAGGACAAAAGCTGACAGGGGACTGCTGAGCTCCTCAAGTCTCTTCCAAGTCCTTCGAAGAAAGGTGGCATAGAGTGGCTGAGCCACAAAACCAAGACTCCCCCCAAATAATAAAAATGTCTAGCCCAACACCTTTTCAAAAATCTCCACGGACTCTAGCTTAAGGAAACTACCTTTGGAAACTTTCTTGTAGGATTTCTAAAGGTAAAAAGCACTTCTAGATAGAACCACAGACTCCGCAGCCATCTAGTCCATATATATATATATATATATATATATATATATAAAATCTCCCATTTGTTTTTGTTTGTTTGCTTTCTTGCTCATGTGTTCATTTTCTCATATTGGGCTTCTTGGGCCGATGCTATCTGCTTAATTATTCACCTTTTATCTTTCCTCCATTGACAAAGGGGAGCAAACTTGAGGACAGGTTGATTTTAGTCAACCTCAATTATAATACAGCCTCAGGCTAACTGAAGTACATTATACAGCCTGATACTGTTGGTGACAATGTACTCTGTTCCTAGGGAGAAAAATCAAAATGATGGCAGATTCTCCCATCATGATATCCTGCTTTACCTTATGCAGGCTATTTCAAGGACCTTTGGAGGATGCTTATCTCAACAAAGAATGCAACTTTTAAGCAATGCCTCCACACATCTTGTATACACACCATAATGACAACATTAGAATTAATAATACCTTGATTTCAATTGATACCTTGTATTTCAAGAAGCTCAATATTCTTCACATCTGCTGTTCTATTTATCTTTTCACATTCATCTGAAATCTAGGGTGGAGTCCAGTTTCACACATTACAAGCTTATAGTACTGTTCTTCCTAACGATTAAACTTAAATCCAGTATCAAACATACCTTGGGATAAATTTGAATGAATACAAAGGGAAAAAAAGATACACATATTTTCCTTATATATGAAAAGATCTAATACTCATTGCTAAGCCTTCTTATTCCATTAGAGTTCTCAATGGAAAGTCAGCTTCCAAATCCTAACCTTGCAATAGTCCCACCTTACCTCTGAGGCAGCACAGGAGAACAGCATTTAAGATGGGGTGAGAACACGCAAATAGAGAGAAGGTACCCCTTACTCAGCACCAGGGAACCCCTTGGGCCTGGGCCACCTGATATTCTAACTTTCATAGCCCCTTATTCATGTGTGAGGGAAGGCCTGGAGTTGCAATGTCATAGGCCTGTTTGTCCAATGTGGTTTTATTTTTTGTTGTTCTTAAGGCCCTGCTCCATTTATTACACATTTGAGCAATGGCTCAGAAAATAGAATAAGAATCGCTGAAAAAAATTTCAAGCTTCCAGCACAGGCTAATGGGTTAATTTGGTTCTGAAAATATAAGTCAGCATAGTTAACGTGTACACCATCTGTTGTGATGTCTCTTTGCTATCAAGACATCACAGCATGTCTCATACTGGGAACTAGGACTGAACAAAGAATACAGAACTACTGGAATTGATACTACCTGTATGCAACATTGTGCCTCCTCACTATCTATAGTGCCTATTTGAATTATTTTCGAAAGCAAATTTAAATCTCACCAATTGCCTGTCTTCTGTAACTGATATATGTGCATTCTAGTGATACTTCTGGTTTCTGTCTCTATATTTTTCAAGATAAGCATGCCTTGATTCCAACTTCATGTTGACAAATGGTTTTGGAAAATGAATCCCAAGAGAAGTCAGTAACTTCCCACAGTTCCAAGCCCAGCAGAAGACATGCCCTAAGAATTTCATAAGCAACAAACTAAAGGATCTAGTCCATGGTCCCAAAGTCCCAAGAATCCTCAGACTTTTCACTGCCCCCTCCCCCGAGTCATCCTTGTCAGGGACTCTGATAAACACACTTGTTGATACAGCTATGCAGCAAATGGGCCAATAAGTATAAACAGCTGTACTTACATGTGTCTGGCTTGAGTTGACTGTTGGTGATGCCAAAGTACTGGGGATTTTCAATGACAGGGATCTTGGTCATTCCAATAATGACGGCATCAGGGCCACCCTCTGAAGATGATGGGGTATTACTCCCATTGGAGATGTGGTGGAGGGGGCTAGCAGAGTCATCATCATTGCTGATAACTGAAGCTGGACCTGGAGTTGGAAAAAATACATATACTTCTGTGATTTTTAAATGTCTTTGTTGATCTATAATTCACATACATAAAATGCACCCATTTAAAGTGTACAATTCAGTGGGTGTTAGCATATTCAGAGAGTTGTGCAACCATTACTACAATCCAATTTTAGGATATTTTCATCATCCCAGTTGGCTGTCGCTCCCCATTCTCCCCAATCTCAGCCCTACACAGCCATAAATTTAGTTTCTATCGCTATGGATTTACCTATTCTGGAACTTCCATGTAAATGGAATCAAACAATATGTGACCTTTTGGGACAGACTTCTTTCACTTAGCATAATGTTTTTAAGGTCCATTCACGTTGTAACATGTGTCGTTATTTTATACCTTTTTATTTCCAAATAATATCATTATATATGGACATGCCACATTTTGTTAACCCATTCATCAATTGATGAACATTTGAGATGTTTAAACTTTTTGGCTATCATGAATAAAGCTGCTATGAGCATTTATGTACAAGATTTTGTGTGGACATGCGTTTTCATTTCTTTTGGGTAGACTTGCTGGGTCATATGGTAACTCTATGTTTCACATTTTGAGGAACTGCCAAAATGTTTTCCAAAGTGGCTGGCTGTACCATTTTATATTCCCCACCAGCAATGTTTGAGGGTTCCAATTTCTTTCCTTCCTTGTTCTGTAATTTAATATACAGCTTCCCTCTCTGTTCTCTGAACATCTTTAGAACACTTTCTCATTGAAACTCCAGCATAAATCTAGGATTCTGTTTCACTGTGTACTGAAAGATGTACTTGGAGTTCAAAGATCTGAGTTCCTTTCTCCGCTCTGGTGAGGTCACTCACCTTCTTTGTACCTCTACATCCAATTACATCTGTCAAATGTGCAAAATGATATCTGCTTGTTATTCTATGAGACGGGAATGAGACTACTGATATAAAGATGTATTATAAATTTAAATACGCTTCATGGGTATGAATTGATACTAGGTATAACTAAATGAACTTACAACAGGTAAACTGGAATTACGTTAAACTATTTTATTACTGCGTCCCTCTCTCTGTATATTCTGTCAGTAGCTGCACCACTTTTGCCTACAGAATAATGGCTCAATCCCATGACAATTTACCTGCTTTGCCTTTACCCTTAATATTATTTATAGAGTCATTCCACAGATGTCTTTATACTAAAGCAATAACTATAGCATTTTTTCATAGAACACTTTAATTTTCTAGTCCAGAGTCTCAGGATGTATATGCCCATAAATACAGTCTACTGTGTCTTGTCTAAACAATTTATCCATTGACCATTCAACCTATACTGTTGCAATAAAAAATAGATTCATGAAGATAAAGGTCTATACGGAAGCTTCAAAACAATTAAGATCCCGGTAGCTCACAATAGACCCTCCATACATGAAAAGTAGACAAAGCCCCCTAGACATATATTTTTGCAGGGAACTGAATAGGTGCAGGGTCCCACAGAAAACAACTACTGGCCAGGGCCCCTGGCATAAGCCAAGAGGAAGATCGAAAGGAGGGGATAAGAGGGAAAGACAAAGGGAAGGCAGTGAAAAGGCAGAATTGAATACACAGCCAAGGCAAATGTGTCCTAGGGAAAGTCTGAATCACTACTTCCTGAGCAAGGGAACATGTTTTCATCCAACCCTCCAGGATGCATGTTTCAGCACCTCCATTCATTCTTTCCCTCTTCTCTCACGCTTAACAATTTCAATGAGAAGCATTGCAATTCTAAAAACAAAAGTCGTTGTGTCATACATTTTTAAGCCCCCTATGAAATATCATAGTAATCCATCCCCCAATCCAAGATCCATTTTCCCCTCATATGGGGATTATCACAGTATGTAGTGATAACAATTGGACATTCCCCAGCTAGCTGAATCTTAAACAAACTATGCAGGAGGCAGCCAACTGCTATTATAGGTAATTTTTTAAAGCATTCTCTCAAGGGGATGTGCATTTAAGATGCCTTTAATGATACACTCTGACTTAATTCTGCACACAAGTCCTCACACAGCCAATTTAGAAGCCACAGAATACTCCACGTGAAAGCAAGCTCCCTAGTTGTGCTTGTCTTGTGCCTAGCTCACCAGCATTAGCAAAGAGCAGAAATTCTGCCAAGAATAAAGACAAGTTCTTCCTAACATCCTTAACCATCCCTGTTTTATGATTTGTTTCCTGACAGGCCTAGGTCACCCAGAGCTTAAATCTAGAGATGGAAAGTGTTGTGCTGAGGTTTCTGCATCTTGTCAATAAAACCTTCCCACTGCTGGCTCCCTGACTCTGTCCTGATGTTCCCTCCTTTGTGGGTTACCCAAGCAGGCTACTGCCTGAGTTCCCCGAGTGGGGTGCAGTCAAGGCCACACATTTCTCAACAGATTCCAGGCTGCACATTTACCCTCAGAAATGCAGGGGCTGTCATGTTCAAATACTCCACATGCTGTCAGCAGGCCAGCACTATTTGTTTCTGGAGCCCCTGCAATGATTAGAAATGCACTGAGCCCAGCTGCCTTTGTCTCTGATTTCTTTTGGCCCAGGTCAGATTATCAACATTCCTGCAGCATTTCATCATTTTGGAAGGGGTTGATACCTAGAAGATAATGTTGAGATTCCTCCAGGAATCTGGGCTCTGAATCATCAGCTGTGGATACAGTGGGGCCCTAACTTAAAGAGTTCAACAGAGAGACTTGCTCTTTGCTTCCCTTCCTCTGAAGGACATCTTTTCCTTCCCCTGGCCTCAGATTAAACTCTTGACTCTGAGGTAACAGATCAAAAGGAAATGCACTCTCTGTTGGGGAAGTGGGGGGTNGATGGGGAGGGGTTGGGGGGTGGGATATGGGTCAAGCATAGGAGCAGTGAATGTAAAGCACCAGAGGTCATTTTTCAAAAGCCATTTCACTTTTTAGAAGGTTGCTGTTGACAAATCAGAGAAACACATAGACCTCAACAATTTATCAATTACAATATTATTTCAAGTGCTGTTTTCTTCATTATTGATGTTCCAAACGCTGGAAGATTGATGTGGCTGGCAGGGTTGCAGCGATTCAACCCATTTTTCTATGAACATTTTGATCTAATGGAGCTCAGCAAAGTGGGGAAGGGGGAAAGCTCTCAGCGGGGACAATGGCTGTCTATATAATTTGACAGCAGCTTGCCTGTGCATGTCACGCGATGTGTCATTGCATGTCTGTGCACGTGCTTGAGGAGACACCACAAAAATACAGAGAAGAAGAGTCAGGGGCACATCACAGTGCCTTGTAAGAAATTCAGATGAGGACTTGAGAAAATGTCTTATACAATTAACTCAAAGTTTTAAATTGCCGGGTATGTGCAGTTGGCTGAGTTTGGGGTAGATAGTTCTAATTACAGAACTGACAAATGTGAGTTATGCCTGGAAACAGATTTAGCCTATTTTTCTTTTAATATATCTCAGGTGCAAAGAGGCATTTTTCTTTTATCCGCACATCTCGGTAACATAGTCTACATCTAAGACCTTACGAACCTTCCTAAGCCTAACCTAGACTTATTTTCCTGTGATAAGAACCAGTAAGGATCCTCTGGGAAAGGAGTTTCCTTCCCTCACGACCAACAATGCCATCGAAGTGAGAAGAGAGATCCTTGTTGTTGAAGAGCTGGATTAAGCTTGTCTTTTATTTTCTGTATTCTGAAGTTTCAATATCTGGGGTCTTGATGACCCTGGAGGGAACTGACCTGTCCAGGATTAGCAAGTTGCTACAGATAGGAAAAAATCTTGCCTGAGAGCGTATCTTTCATATACAAACAAACTAATCCATAACCTATACCTCAACCACATTCCTTATCAAGCTATCACACTCTAGGCTACTAATCCTAAACCTGCTTATCCCGCCTCGCCCACTCCTTCCTGAGGAAACCACAAAAAGGCTCTTGTCCACGTTTTCCCCTTACTCCCTCTGCCTCTTGATTGACCCAATGTGGCCCCATGTGGCCCCCTGAGATGTGCCATGCCCTCTTCTCTTGGGAGCTGTGGGTAACGAACTATCTTTCCGGTGGCCGCCGTCTCCTGACCTATCAGCCTCCTTATACCTGAATAATAACTGAACCAACATTTTAAAGCAGCAGCACTTCTGGTGAACTATAGCTGAAAGCACAATTCTGAAGAACTCTATTGTGGCCTAAAAGGGCGAAACCTGTCTTTGAAGCTTCCCAGGAACCAGCACCTCTCTGCAGGGCAAACTGGCCTCAAAAATGTTTAAGCGGTTACAGTCATTGGCTATTTAGTGGAAGGAAGGCCCCGTCTCACAGGGCTGTTGTTGAAGTGTTGATTACCTGACTCTTCCCGCCCCACCGCCACCACACACACACACACACACACACACACACACACACACACACACACACCACAAGCCGTAACATACGACACCTTTAAGATTGGCCAGCAGGACACTCTCTGGTATCTCAAAATGTCTCCGTTCAGCCATATCTGAAATCTGCCCCTGGAGAGTCACCAACAAACCCTGAACTGGTTGAGCTTAATGTTCCATCTTTACCACATCTCCACTTTCCCTTTACTGTTTAAGAGCTTTTCCCTTGGAATTCATGGGGCTAGTTATGGGTCAGGGTGACAGATACCAGGCTCAAAAAGGGAAAGGAAATGGGTTCCTTGTATGGCTGGATGAGCATGTATGAAGCAGATGGCTTGGAACTGAAAGGCTTCGTAACACTGGTATACCTCCCCTACTTTGCAATTTTACCGATAGCCAACACTGCTACCAAAATAAATGCTAATTAACGGATACCCAAGATGGCCAGATCTTGGAAAGGCACATGCAAAAGGGAAGGAAGTCTGTCTTTTCTTGCCTTCTAAGTAATTCCTGTCCATTGTCTCTATACCTACAGGAAATACTGCACATATTGGAAATCCCTGGAGATCACACCTGATTTCAATCCCAGAGATGCAATATACTCTCTACAGTCATCTGGTAGCTGCACACTCTGCTTTTCCACTGTCAGCACATAGTCTGAATGCAAGGGATAGAATGCAATCAAGTACCAGTCATAGCATCTGGACATTAGTCTTGCTTTGAAAGAGAAATGATCATAAACGAACCACTGATTAACCAATTCTGAGACTGATTACATTTTGGCCAATGGGAGAAAGTTAAGAGCCACACTTTTCCAGCTTGAATATTCAGTCAACTTAGCTGTGCATGCAGCTGTAGTATAGTTGCATTTTATTAACTTCCTCAAAAATGCATCGACAACCTACAGCTAGCTGGGTGATGGTCGACACTTCCCCATAGGATAAAAACAAGTTGACTTCAAAAACACAGAACCATTTACTGAACTCGATTAGCAACAGTGATGCCTGTTCTGGAAAAATTCTAGGCCTCTTTCTTCAGCAAATCAGAAACCAGGAACACAGAAAGTGAACAAGCGCCAACAAGCATGAAGAGGGCCTAAGCAGTTTCAGCCAAATTAAACACAAGCTCGTTACTTAGCCAAAGAAGGAGTGAGAACTACTTACCAATCCCTTGTCTTGATTTTACTTTCCCAAATCCAAACCATGAGAAATCTGAAAACCACAACAAAACATAAAATAAACTTCGAAAGAGAAGCGTAACCCAGGGGTATTCAGCACTGTCCTTAGTAAAATAACTCAAATGCCCTCAGAACGCTCCATGGAGGCCTGAAGCTTACTCTCAAATAGCTAACTCTAGGATTTCTTTTTTTGTAAAGATTTATTTCTCATCCTGAGAACATGGAGGTTGAAATCAGATAGGCGGCAGCAGCCTGTCTTCAAGAAAATGGCCTAAACTCAGGTTAACAGCTCTGAGTAGCTTTCTTTCTGTCTCACTTTCTTTCTTCACCCTAAGTATTGACTCATCCAACAGGAAAGCTGCAGGGGTGAAACACACAATGCACCTGACAAATGCACTACGGTTCTGAACCACAGCCGTATGGGAAAACAAGAACAGAAAACAGGCCTTTTCTGGAGCTGAGACAGGCAGTAAAAGAGAAACAGGCAAGGACTCCCATGGGAGAACTGACACTTCTCTGGATGTGTCACATGGAACTAACACTTGGGCTCGATGCGGATTCAAGAAAAAAAAAAGGGGTGGGGGGACCTTAATTCTACATGGATTCTATGACTGACATGTGTCACAGTGGACGGCTCACACCAGCTCTGTGCCTCATGCAGCATAAGGCTCCATGGGCACATGTCAGGAAAGGCCTGCCAGATGTTTGGAGGTCCTCCAGTGAACAAAGCCACAGTGAAATGCCTATTTGTTACCTGGGCCCGACTGTTCCCTTGTAGGTAATTTCCACTGGGTTCTAATTCTGCACAGAATTCTGTATTCCTGGATATAAGGCCAATAAAGGGAATGGAGCCCCAGTAAGTAACGGTGTTGTTCAGCTCTTTAGATCTGTAGCGATTTTAACAGGCAGTGGGATTAAAAAGCTACATAGAAGAGCCAATTTAAATGAAACAATGTATATATTAATAAAACCCTCTGCACACTCAAAAAAATGCCTTACAAGTTGTCATGATTACTTTTTTTTTTTTTTCAAATATATTTAGCCCTTCCCTGGTATTCTAGAATTTCCGTTCTCCAAACTGAGTCGAATTCTACTTCTGATTGGTATTGCTTTGAATGCTTTCTTCCAGATTTTAGAAGACAGGATGAAGGTCTGGCCTCTGTCCAATGCCAAATAAAGATTGTTGTGCACAGAAGACAGTGAACCTCATTCACCGAGTCCTTGGTCTAGTGGGGCAGGGCTAAGCCTGTGGATTTCTTAGCTACGACTAATCTCTTTCAAAACGGAGTGTATTTTACTACCGTCACTTTTTGTTTTCTGTATTCATGTGATTGCCATAGTTTTAATTAAACTGTTGGTTGGATTTGTTTTAAGGCTGTTTTTTTCACCTGAGCATTGTTTTTCAAAATTGTGTTTCTGTCTTACAGAAAACCCACTGAAGGGCAGTGCCATAGCAGCCCCTCACTGATTACACATTTCAGATTACTTTTGATCATTAACTGTAATAAACACAACTTCAAGAAACATCTACTCCTCTTAGGTTCCTAAAACGGGGGTTTTCAAAAATCATTCCCTCAAGGTAAATCTTAGAAATGGAATTACTGGGTCAAAAGGGATGAGTATGGCTAAGGTTCTCAACACGTGTAATCAAATTGCTTTCCCACTGATCTGACTTTCATCAACAGTGTATGGGAAGGTAAGAGGGTATTTCCAACGGGAAAGCTACTTCCATCCTGCCATTGGCATGTCTCCACCTAACTCAACAGAGACCTGGAAAATACCCACCCCTGACCTGTGCCACATGAAACTACTTGCACCCCACATTTCCTAGGCTAGTGTTCATCATGGGTGCAGTAAGGAGAACTTTAGATATGGAGAGAATAAGGCAGATAACGCTCATGCAGTCATTGTAATTCCCCAAGTCCCTCTCCCTGCCCCAGTCACTTCTCCCTTGGTCCTCAGCCAAACCCTGTAACATATTATCCTTTGTTCATTGACAAGGAATTGAGACTCAGAAAGGCCAACAGACTTAGCAAAGGTCACAGCTCATAGTGACTCAGCCTTCTGATGCCAAATCCAGGTGTGTGTTTTTTTCTTATTCTTTCATAGTTGCCTTTCCAAAAGTAGCCAAAATTTACAATGTTACAATCAGGATTCAATTTGATGTATAGAGACATACTCTAAGTAGTCATGCATTCTCATTTATTTATTCAACAGGCATAGAAGAAGATTCAAAGAAAAATAAGCTGCATGGCCTGCCCTCATAGAGTTTCCAATCAAAGATCGGCTACCCTAGAAGTATGTCCAGGGTGGACGGGCCCCTATCCCAATGGGGAGGAGTATGGGTCAAAGGCGAGTTCTCTAGTTTCTGGACAATGGGTTAGAATTAGCCACAAATGGAGAAAGCAGAGGGGTCATTCTCAGCGCAAGTAGTCCAGTTATGGCTAGTGTGGGGGTTGCTGCCTATGTCACAGGGCTGATGCAGCTGGAAAAGGGGAGGGAACTGAGAAAAAAGGCAAGGGCCAAGCCAAGAGTTTGGATTCTATAATGAAAATTACAGGTAGCCCCTGCCCCCCATACACACCCCCCCCAAAACAAATTAAAAAAAATCTCAAGCCAGGCAATAACATGATCAAGATTAATTTTAAACAAATCATCTTGGCTACAGGGTACAAACGGGATCATGAGAGGGCAAGACTGAGGGCAAGAGACTGGTTAAGGAAGCTTCTAGAGGAATCAAGGCATGAGAGAATTGTGGCCTGGGCCAGGTGTTGGGGATACGGGACCGGGGAGAGAAGGGGATGGCTGTCAGGCATGTTTAGGGAAACCAGTAGGACATGGTGATAAGGCTGCAAGTTGAGGGAAATATGGGAAGTGAACAGTGAAGTTTCGGGATGCTACTGCTGCCCACCATGTCTCCAAGGAATTTAGAAGGGAAACAGGATTAGGGGGTTAAACTGACAGCACCGGTGTGGGGGGCACAAATCCCAAATAAGGTGTCTATGTAAGGACCAGTGTTCAGACCTCAGTAGTAGGTCTGAAGTAGATTGGCCCAAGTTCAAGAACCCACAGTTTAACTGGGACACAGAACCCAGGTGCTGTGCCTAGGACACATTTCTCGTTTGGGCACGCAAAGTGCCCATTCTTGCAGGAACAAATGAAAAGGCATCCAACTGAGGCTAACTTTGGACAAACTTCTTCCTAAATTGCTAAAACATTTCTAAGTTATCTTTACCAATAACACAATTATTACGTGAAAGAGAATACAATCTTTTTGACCATGTCCCAGAGGACTTGGACAATTTAACGGACCACACATAGCAAGGTCACATTGATACCTCTGCCACACCCCCCTGAAGCTGTGCTTTGTTCCACAGCTCATTCTGGATGGATTTAAGCAGTAGTCTTAAAACCTCAATACTCAATTTCACCAGCAAAATTTTCCCACAAGGCCAAAAAGAATCAATTTCTCAATTTCCTGTGATGTTTCACCCATTGGGAGAGTCCTGCCAAACATTCTTTTATTTTCTGTTTTAATAAGAGACACTTTACTCACTGCAAAATAAAGAGCTCCTTCAAAAGCAAATGTAGTTGCAATGAGCTTAACGTAACTCCTCCTTTTGGAATCTAGACCAACAAACACTCTAAATTATGAAATTAACCAATTAAATCCATCTTATATTGAGGAAAGTTCAATCCTCCCTGACCAGAGAAGAGAAATGTAGAAAAAAAATTTGCACATTAACGCACTAACAACTCTAAAATGGGACTTAAACTAAATAAAATAAATGGCAATAAGGACTGGTTTTTAAACATCTCCCAAAGGAAACAGCTAAAATTTAGGGGGTTGAAAAGGAATATTTATGATGCCAGCGAGACAATCAGAGGAAGGAGCGAGAAACAGGCAATGCGGAGAAATCCAATCCTCCCTGTGGGTGCTGACTTGCACAAACACGAAACATGATTGTTAAAAGAGTTCTGATCTCCAGAGAATGCAATTTCTGGATTTTTTTCTTTTTTACATTTTGGAAAAATCCTTTAGTATGTTAGGAGAAAATTCAGCTTTCTTCGCTTGTAACTCTGGAGAAATTAAAATGTGCTGTGTTCCCAAACGTCATTTCTTTATATTTTAAGGCAAGACTCACCACTCTCCACCCCCAAGAAAAGAATCTTTAACATTTTAATGGAAGCAAATGGGAAAATATGATCCACTGACAGAAATGTCCTTCACTCCCAACTTCTTATGACCACACCCCCTAAAGGACTCATGAAAAAGGAGCTCTCAGCTGCCTCGCTGCAGGGAAAGTGTGGACCAGACACTGCTGAGCTCAAAGTACACACTTCATGAGTGCTTCACAGAGTGGCTGGTTGCCTATTACCTCAAACAAAGAGCTAGGAGGACTGGTCATTGGAATGGAGGGGAAACGAATGCAAAGGATCACTTTACTGACAATATAATCATCTCCCTTTCCAAATGATACATAATCAGAGTGAGTAATAGTTTGCTTCAAATTAATTCCAGTTCCTGAGGCCACTGAACAATGTAGTGTAGGGCCAAGTTTCCACTTCAATTTAATCTTCATCTTTCACTGAAGGACACAACCTTTATGTAAGTCTCATATTCGCAGACAAGGAATCGGGTTTGCTTTGAGTTAAATTGGTTGTGGGAATCATGATGCAAAGGGTTCTAGAATCCTCCTGACCAACCTTCATTGGCTTCATCCTTTCCCTTCCCTCAAACTTTTAATATGACTTATTGTTACTGTTCTCCAAGTAACACTGGACGCCTCCAATGTGACAACTATAAAGAAAAATATGTGTGTTTTAGCTGAAACTGCTAGCTGCTCTCTGAAATCTTTATTTCCATTTTTTTTCCTGGGCCCACACCTAGACGACATTCCCAAGCCCTTCTAGTAGTCAGTTGTGGACATACCATTAAATTCTAGCCAATGGATGGTGAGCAGAGTGATGGGTACCACTTCCCAGCCTGGCCCATCAAGACTTCTTTCCCCTTCTACCTTTCCAGAATGAAGC